CCTGCTGATCACTCCAAGACAGGAGAGGCTCAGGTGGCCACCCAGATGTCAACTGTCCTGTAATTACAGTGTCACCAACCACAAAAGCCAGCTTTACTTTCTTTCCGAGCACCAGGAGTGGAAAATAAAATGCCACTGGAAGACCTACCAGACAGGCGTAAAGCCCATCTTCACAGGGGTTACCTTATCCTTTTTCCACTCACATGAGGCTGGGTTGGCTGCTCTCTCGCCCAACGCTCAGCCCCTGGGCATGCACACTCTTTTCCCGGTCTCAGCTACACTGAAATATGCACCACTGACAGCGCTAATAGGGAAGAGTGCTCTACATTTTGTGCCTTTACATAATCACCGCTGTCTCGACACTCCTCATATGCGTGTTTGTGCCTTATGGTCTTCCCTGGAGCAACAAAACTTCTCGCTATCTGCAAGAGGTCTATCTTTTCCAGTTACAAACGTGAAAGTTTTGCAGACTCTCCGAACGGGCCCGCTGCCAGTTACACCAGATGTGCTTCGCTTCCAACAGATAGCAAACTGGCACCAACAGCAGCAGGGCTCGTCAGCAGCTTCACCTGCCCGCCTGGTGCCAAGGAGGGAACTCCCGCACCCACCTCCCTCCGAGGGAAGCACAATATGAAGAATCTCCTGAAATTCTCTCTCATGTTTCCCCTTTCCTCACCACAAATGGGAACAGTTGCTGCGAACGTGCATGTAATAACGGCGACTGGAGATCGCTTTATGAGGTCGGCACGTTATTGCCTTCTCACAGCTACCTGAGCATAGTGCCAGCCTGGCACAGGCACAGGGCTTTCTAGGAAGGAGTCGCTTAAGCTCTGTAGGTAATGCTCAGGAGAACTTTGTTCTCTGCTTGGGAACAGCATGGAGACGTTCATGCTCCTTTTGCAGTGCTTCTGCAGGGGAAAAAAAAAAAAAGTCTGTTTGTTTGTTTGTTTTAAATCCAAATAATATAAATTGTATCCAGCTAACACAAGAATTTCATTGTCAAGGATACTGACTAGCCTGGAAACCTCCCTTTCAGTACTGGCTTACTTGTCTGACAAGGTTAAAACAAAAGCTCTCCTAGAGCCTAAGTGGTGGAGCACAACAAAAAAAAAAAACAACAGGCAGAGAGAGTAGGCAGCAATGCAAACCAAGAAGGTCTGCAAATCTAGGGGAACATCTCTAAGAAAGTCACAAATGGCTTATTAAATGGAAAATGGTTCTACCTCACCCTTTCTGCAATTCCTTTAGCAGCAAAGAACCACAGCAGGGTTTGACACAGCGGAGTGGATTCACAAGGTGGGGATGTGGGCAGGACTGCGGAGGGGATGCAGAGCAGGAGACACACGGGTGCTGAAGGCCAGGTCTGAGATGCACCAGCGCAGTCATGTCTGAGGAGCACCAGTCCACACACAGCTTGCTTCTGGCCAAGCTGCTGACCTCTCGTTTCCAAAACCACTACAAAGCATTTAAAAATAGTCCTTAAAAAAAAAAGTGCCTAGGATTCAAACAGTCATGTTCTCTGACCCGCTACAACCTTCTTTTCTCCTGTGTTATAAGTGAATATGCTGGAAGGCCACACATCCCTAAATGCTGACTCTTCTTTTCCTGCTCCCAGCTGGGAGTCCCCATAACAATACAGACATAGCAGCGAAAAGGGCATGTGTAAATAAAACCACTTACATCCCCCCAGGGCTGTCCTTCGCAGATAATTAAGAAAAACCAAAGCAAATGACTGAAAGGACAAAGATCTGGCTGAGACACCGACATGATCAGCAAGTGCCTGATGGTAACTGGAAAGGATCCAGGTCTCATCGCTGCCAGCGTTTGTTCCCAGCCCAGGGGGGAAGGGCAAAATTCAATATCCCTCATCCCACTGACAGCTTAAAAATGACCTGTCCCCCATGAATGTTCCCTTACGCTCCAGCAGCAGGCTGCCAGGCAAAGCCAAGCAGCTAAAAATTAAACAAAGAGATGATCTAACTATT